TGAAGACGGTCCAAGCTGGTGCCGTTGGCTGTCCGGCCGTGGATGGCCGCCCAACTCGCCCGGGAGACCTGTTGACCCCGCACCTCGCAGTGCTCCCCATGGGCTGGAGCTGGGCGTTGCACCTCTGCCAGCTCGTGGTTGAAGAGGGCGCCCGACGAGGGGGCCTGCCCGCCGATCGGCTGCTCAGCGATCGCTCGGCTGCGTCGCCGCTGGCCCCCGCTGTCCTGCAGGGGGCCGTCTACGTCGACAACTTTTTGGTGCTCGGCGGGCCCCGCCAGGCCGTCGCATCCACTGGGCAGCAAGTGGCGAGTGCCTTCTCCGACTCCGGCTTCGTGGTGCACGAGGAGACTGGCGCGTCGTCGAAGGTGAACTTCGTTGGGCTCGAGCTGGACGGTGTCAACCATACTGTGCGGGTCTCGCGGAAGCGAGTGTGGCGCCTGAAGGTAGCTCTGGCCGAGCTGCTCTCCCAGGGGCGCTGCAGTGGCGACGTCATGGAGATCCTGGTCGGCCACCTGACGTGGGTCATGTTGCTCCAGCGGTCCGCGCTCTCCGTCCTGTCCAGCGCGCACGCCTTCGCGCAGGCTGGCAAAGGGCGCGTGCTGGACTTGCGGCCCTCGGTTCGCCAGGAGCTGACGACGGCCATGGGCCTGCTCCCGCTGCTCGTCGTCCACGCCGACGCCGTCTGGCACAGCGTCGTCGCGGCCAGCGACGCCTCCCACTGGGGCTGCGGGGTGCGCCGCCGGCACTGCCAGGCGTCGGAGGCCGCCTCCTTCGGCCGCGTGGCGGAGCGCTGGCGCTACCGCGCTGCTGGGGCAGCCAACGCGCGCGCCCACGCCTTCCTTGCCGAGGGCGCGGCCCTGGACGTCGGCGCCGGCGCGGGCACCGAGTCCGACTCGGCGCTCCAGGACGAGCAGCTTGGCTTCACCGCTGGACTGCTGCAGGCGCACGCGGACGCGTGCTCGTTCGACCCCGTCGACGCCGACTTCATGCATCCCAGCCGGTGGCAGGTGGTCCAGAGCTTCAAATGGGGGGCCGACGCAAACATCCTCCGCCTCGAGGGCTTGGCCTTGTCTTCGGCTCTTCGTCACCTGCTCCGGAGCCGCTCGGCTTTCGGGCGACGGCTGCTCGTCTTCGTCGACAACCTCGGGCTGGCTCTCGCAGTGGGAGAAGGGCGGTCGGGGGCTTTTCAGATTCGAGACGTCCTTCGAGAAGTTTGCGCCTTGTCGTTGGCTTGCGGGGTCAGGCTTTCTGTCCGATGGGTTCCGTCCGAACGCAATCCCTCGGACTACCCCTCCCGAGGTCGTCTCTTCATCAAGCAGGCGCGCGACCCGGGCGCCTCGGCTGCTGCTCCTGGTGCTGTGGCTGCTGACGGTGACGCCGAGCCTCTGCCAGCCGTCCCGCCATTCCCGAGCCTCATCAAGGACGGCCCCATACACGACGCGGACTCTGCAGCCGGAGGCCCACGCGTGGCAGGCGGGGCAGACTGCGATTCCCAGCGGGGTTCAGACGGCAGCGCGCCGACGCTGCCTGCCGCTGCCCCCGTCGCCTTTCGCCCTGCCGACCTTGCAGCAGCTGACCTACTTGGAGGGGCGGTCGGTGAAGCCCGCGACGTACAAGGACTACCACCGCCGAGCCCTGGCCTTCGTCCAGTGGGCCACGGCAGCCCGCCAGGGTTGGGGGGACTACGAGCAGCTGGACCTCTGCCTGGTGCTGTTCCTGGACAAGCTGTTCTTCGGGGGCTTCACTGGCGACGACGCGAGCAAGCTGGTCGCCGCGGTGAAGTTCTTCTACCCAGACCTCGGCCGCTGGGGCGTTGCGGCGCTCCCGCGCACATCGCGGGCCCTGGCAGGATGGGGCAAAGTCGTGCCGCGCCGGTCACGGATGCCGTTGCCCTGGGTCCTGCTGGCTGCGATCATTGGCGTCCTGTTGCACCGGAACCTCGTGGAGCATGCTGTGGCACTCCTGGTCTCGTTCGCGGCCTACCTTCGGCCAGGCGAATGCGACCGCTCACGTCGCTCCAGCTGGTCGCCCCCGTCGCGGCGGCCGGAGGGGCCGCGGACGTCTGGGGCCTGCTGCTGGCGCCGGTGGAGCTGGGCAACCCCAGCAAGACCAACAGCTGGGACGACGCGGTGCTCCTGGACTCGATCCCGTTTGTGTACCCCTGCCTCCTGGTCTTGAAGCGCCGGTGCCAGTCGTCAACGGACCGCATCTGGAGCTACCCGCCCGGGGACCTCTCGACCAGGCTGGCGGAGGCGGCGGCAGAGCTCCAGCTGACGCACCTGGGGATCACGCTGTACGGGCTTCGCCACGGGGGAGTGTCACACGACATCCTGCACCGTCTGCGGACCCCGTTGGAGGCAAAGCTCAGGATGCGCATGACGTCAGACTCGACCCTGAAACGGTACGCCAAGCAGACAAGGGTGGTCTCGGAGCTGAGCAAAGCGCCGCCGCTGGTAGTGACCTTCGGCAACCACGTCTCGTCCCTGCTCGCCGCCGTGTTCGCCGGCTTGGCCTCGGTGCCGAGCCCGCCCGTGCTGCCAGGTAACCAGGGTGCTCTGAGGACAGACTGAGCGATCGACAGGTGGCCGCCCGAATGCGCTCATTGCTCAGGGCAGCGCTGTCGGCTGCCCGTCGCAACAAACGACAGATTTTTCTAGAGCTCTTTGCAGGCTCCGAGGGGCTCAGCCGAGGGGTGAAAAATCTGGGGTATGGTGTGATCGCTGCTGACATCGTTTCTCGTCCGTGGTTTGATTTGGATCGGCCTGTCATCCAACGCACCCTTCTCGGCTGGGTCTCCTCAGGGCTCGTGCTGGCCGTCTGGCTCGGCACCCCTTGTAACACGTGGTCCCAGGCGCGCCACGGCCCCCCAGAATCCAGCTGGTGTGGACTTCGTGCACCAAATGCAATCTGGGGGCTCCCAGGCCTCCAGGGCCGAGCCTTGGCCGCGGCACGACACGGCAACAGTCAGGCAATCTTTTCTCTGAAAGTCACTCGAGCCTGTCTGCGTCTTGGGACCCCTGCCTTCCTCGAGAACCCTGCCTCCTCCTTCTTGTGGTCTGTTCCCCCTCTCTTGAAACTCGCCTCTCACCCTAGCTCTCAAAGCCTTGTTTTTGATTTCTGCGGGTTCGGGACCCGATGGAGGAAACGCACTCGTGTCCAGGCGTGGTGCAGCGGATTCAGAATCCGCTTGCCCAAGTTGTGTAATTTGCGAGGGGGAATCTGCGCTCACACGCACAAGCCCCACATCGTCCTCACTGGTCGCGACCCAGCCTCTGGAAAGCTCTGGACCCAGGTCGCGCAAAGGTACCCCAGGAGGATGGCCAACAGCTTTGCTTCCGCAATCATGCGTACCGTCCAGAGCCTGTACCTGGCCCGAGTGCAACAAATGATATCCATTTAATCGTTTTGACGGCATTTTGCCAGTAACCATCTTGGGACTTGGGGTCCCTCTCCTTCCCCTTCCTCGTCGGTGGTGGTGGTGTGTCCTCCTTCCTGCTCCCTTTCCTCCCCCACTGCCCGCTCTCTTTGGCATGGGTCGGTCCGTGTTCAGTGATCTCTCGCCTGGACTGCGAACACAAAAACGTTCTCTGGCACGGGTGGCGCGCAGGATGGGTGTTCTTGAACTATAATCCTGGGGCAGAATGAGTGCCGCTGGACATCAATGTCCATCTCGGAGTTGCGGGATAAGGTCATCTTTATCTGCCTCCGCAGCCTTTTCTCTCGCCCGCCCTCCCTCCCCTTTTCCCCCTCCTCGTCGGTGGTGGTGGTGTGTCCTCCTTCCTGCTCCCTTTCCTCCCCCACTGCCCGCTCTCTTTGGCATGAGTCGGTCCGTGTTCAGTGATCTCTCGCCTGGCCTGCGAACACAACAACGTTCTCTGGCACGGGTGGCGCGCAGGATGATGATGATGATGATGATGATGATGATGATGATGATGATGATGATGCTGATGATACCGATGATGACTATGATGATGACAATGATGCTAATGCTGACAATGAGGATGATCATGATGCTGATGATGCTGATGCTGCTGCTTCTGATGATGATTCTGATTACCATGATGATGATTAAGTTTATGCTGATGATGATGCTGCTGCTGCTGCTGATGATGATGATGATGATGATGATGATGATGATGATGGTGTTGCTGCTGCTGATGATGATGCTGAGGCGGAAGAGGAGGAGGAGGAGAAGGAGGAGGAGGAGGAGGAGGAATAGGAAGAGGATGAGGAGGAGGAGGAGGATGAGGAGGAGGATAAGGAGGGTAAGCAGACTGACAAATGGACAAGGGACACGCGTGGGCTCAATGGAGCAGCAGGGTAGGAAGAGGAGGAGGATGAGGAGAAGGAGGAGGAGGAGGAGGAGGAGGAGGAGCAGCAGCAGCGGCAGCAGCAGCAGCAGCTGGGAAGGATGGAGGAGGAGGATGGAAGGATAGGAAGAGGGTCAAGGAGGAGGGACGGAGGAGAACGGTGACGGATTGAGGACGATGGGAAGGGAGGGTTGGGAGGAGGAGGAGGAGGAGGAGGAGGAGGAGGAGGAGGAGGAGGAGGAGGAGGAGGAGGAGGAGGAGGAGGAGGAGAAAAAGAAGGGGAGAAGTGGAGAAGGAAGCTTGAGGAGGGTGAGTGGAGGAAGGTGCCCACAAACCCGACGTGATTTAATGTGTTTGCCCAGCGTGTGCCCTCGGAGGTGCGGACCTCTTCCCCATGGCGCCGTTTCTCGTTCCGGGTTGTCCTGTGGTTGTTCTCTGACGGCCCCGGGCCCTGTCCAGGGCCCTGGGAGGCCGAAGCTGGCCTGACACCGTCCGTCGTGTTTTTTGTTCCCAGCGTGGGGATGCGGGGGGAGGAGGAGGGGATAGGGGGAGGGGAGGGGGGGGACGGAGGAGGAGGGGAGGAGGAGGAGGAGGAGGAGGAGGAGGAGGAGGAGGAGGGGAGGAGGAGGAGGGGATAGGGGTGAGGGGAGGAGGGGGCACGGCGGTCGATGGCGCAGCCCTCCCCATCAGGCTGATAGGCAGGGGCGGCGCCATGATCCAGGCCAGGCGGCAGGGGGGCCCCGCTGCCGCGCCTCCCTTTCCCCCCCGCCCTCCCTCGCTCCCTCCTCCTCCCCTCCCCCTCGAAGATCAGCGACAACGATATGGGGGGGAGGGCGCTTTCGAGGTTCGAGGTTGAAGATTCCTCCTTCTCCTCCTCCTCCTCTCCTCCTCCTCCTCCTCCTCCTCCTCCTCCTCCTCCTCCTCCTCCTCCTCCCTCGCGCCCTCCCTTCCTCCTCTGAAATCCGACGTTTCGAGAACATGATTGCAACCTTGCGGAAAATCACTGCCCGAGGCTTGGACCTGATCTTTCTGATGCATTTTTCGAGCCATGTCGATCTATGATGGCCCCAGGACCCGAAACAGGGCGAAATGACCCTGCGTGAACAAGTTGCAACGCCGCGACGGAACTCACGGGGCGCAGGTGCCCGCGAGAGGGGTGCTGGCCTGTGGAGGTCTTCGTCGTCGCTGTCGCTCGCGGCAGGCCCCGTCCTCTGCCGCGTACTTCGGACCACCAGCGTCTGCCCCGGCGCTCGCAGGAGAGCCGGAGCTCAGGGGAGGAAAAGGTACCCATACCTCTACCCTTCCCTGGTTCCCCCCTCTTTGGGCGTCCTGGGCGGCCCTCGTCGCCACCGGTGGGTTCGCCTCGAAATCCTGGTCAGAACGCACCCCCGGGAGAGGTCCGGGGAGCAGCGGTATCGGTACCTCTTGATTTCCCCTGGAGCCGCCAACTGTGCACGCCCGGGCGCCCAGGAGGGGGCGCCAAGGGCGTTCCCGAGGCGATATCCGGATCTTCCCTTTCCCCAGAACCGGTGCTTCATCCTGAGTGCTTCTTTCACCGTCCTGGGGCCCGGCAAGGGGTAAGGGCTCCCAGAGTAGGGGGCCACATGTGAACCCTACCCTTACCCCCCACGATTTCCGAGGGGGAGGGTGGGGTTCACGTCGTTCGGGAGCTCCCGAGCGAAGTAAACCCCACCCTCCCCTCAAAAATCGTGGGGGGTAGGGGTAGGGTTCACATGTGGCCCCCTACAGAGGCCCAGAACGCCCAAGCACCTCCCGTCCTGAGTTGTTGGGCGCGAGCAAGTCTGGGCCCTTCGCCTGCTCCATTCTTCCAGAGCTCTTCGGCTGCAGCTCCTGGGAGGTCAAATTCTGATTTTACCCTGGTCCAAAATATCCGGCGCAATCCCATTTAATCTCGCTTAATCCGGCCTAATTCCGCCTAATCCCGCTCTTAACCCGAGGCCCACTCCAGCGTAACAGCCCCCCCAATGGGGCTTCATCCTTTCTCATCCTTCCGACGAAAAAGCCTCCCAGTAGTTGCCTCCTGAGATCTCCGACGCCGGGATCCCAGGATTCCCTCTTTCCCCCCGCCCCCTCCTCGTGAACCTCTCTGCCGCTGGCCGGCGCCCCCTGCCGCTGGCCCGGGGCGCTCGGCTCGCCCGCGCAGGCGCTGCAGGGCCAGACCGGCACGCGCATCTGGGTGGATGTCGAGGCCTCTGAGGCGCGCCGCGGGCAGACCGACGACCGACGACGACGACGACGACGACGACGACGAGGACGACGACGTCGACGACGACGACGATGAGGACGAGGACGACGGCGACGATTACGACCGACGGCGAGGACCACGACGATGATGACGAGGACGACGACGATCACGACGACGACGACGACGACGACGACGACCGACGTCCAAAGTCCAACGACCGACGACCGACGACCGACGACCGACGACCGACAACTTTCGACCGACGATCGACGACGACGACCACAAAGACAAAGATGACGACGACGACGACGGACGACGGGCGACGACGACCGACACCAATGAAGACGGACGAAGACGACAACGACAACCACGACGAAGACAAGGACGAGGACGACGACGACGAAGATGAGGACGAGGACGACGACGACGACGACCACGACGACGACGACGACGACGACGACTACGACCGACGACTGGCGACGACCGACGAGCGACGACGACGAGGACGACGACGACAATGACCGGCACCAACGATGACCGACGACCGACGACCGACGACCGACGACGACGACGTTGACGACGACGACCACGACGACGACCACAACGACGACGACGACGACGACCGACGACCGACGACCGATGACGACCAACGACCGACGGCCGACGGCCGACGATCGACGACGACAACGACGACGACGACGAAGGACGACGGACGACGGGCGACGACGACCGATACCAACAGCGAACGACGATCACAACCACGACGACGATAAGGACGACGAGGACGACAACGACGACGATCACGACGACCACGACCGACTTCCGACGACCGACGACGACGACGACCGACCAACTGCCGACGACCGACGATCGACATCCGACGACCGACGATCGACGACTAACGAGAACGACGACGACGACGGACGACGGACGGATGACGACGACCGACACCAACGACGACCGACGACGGCGACGATTACGACCGACGACGACAACGACGACGTCGACGACCCACGACGACGACCAGAGACCGATGACGACGACGACGTCGACGACCAGCGACGACGACGACGACGACGACGACGACGGCGACGACGACAACGGCGACGACAACGACGACGACGACCGACGACCGACGATCGACGATCGACGATCGACGACGACTGACAACCTCGTCGTCGTCGTCGTCTTTGTCGCCGGCCGTGGCGATGGCGATGGTGGTCGTCGTCGTTCGTGGTTAGTCGTCCATGGTGGTCGTGTTCATGGTCGCCGTGGTGGTGGTTGTCTTGGTCGCAGTCGTGAACGTCGAGGTCGTAGTCGTCGTCGTGGTCGGGCATCTTCGTCTGTCGTGGTCATGGTCGTCATCATGGTCGTCGTCGTAGCCGGTCGTCTGCGGCAGTCGCGGGGGGCGGGGCACAGCCAGGGAACCGCACAGGCGCCCCCCAAGGTGCCCCGAGGCAGCCCAGCAAGTCCGCAGGATGGCCACACGGTGGGCTCCAAGACTGCACCGAAGACGGCCCGTTACGACCCCATGCTGGTCCCAAGGCCAGGATTTCTCAAGATGGCTTATGAGGGTCGCAAAATGGCCAAAGTTTGCCTCCAGGTGGCCCAGCACTGCCCAGAAGCGCAGGGACCTGGAGGCCGAGCGTCGACTACACGTAAGAGTGACCCGTCGCCAGAGTGACCTTTTGTGCGGGCCTGCTGGGGCCCCCCGATCGCCGAGTGCGATGCGATTGTGGCGTCTGGCGCGCTTGTGTGTTGGCCCCCCCGCGGCTCCCAAAACAGCGGCGCACCAAAGGTCACTCTTATCCAGGGTCACTCTTGCGTGTAGTCGAGGGAGGAGAGGAGAGGAGCGGAGAGGACAGGAGAGGAGAGGAGAGGAGAGGAGAGGAGGAGGAGGAGGAGGAGGAGAGGAGGAGGAGGTGAGGAGGAGGAGAGAGGATGGAGGAGGAGGAGTGAGGAGGCGGAGGAGGCGGAGGAGGAGGAGGCGGAGGAGGAGGCGGAGGAGGAGGCGGAGGAGGAGTGGAGGAGAGAGGAGGAGGAGGAGGAGGAGGAGAGGGAGGAGGAGGAGGAGGCAGGAGGAGGAGGAGGAGGAGGAGGAGGAGGAGGAGGGAGGAGGAGGAGGGGGAGTGGAGGAGGGCAGGCGGAGGAGGAGGAGGAGGAGAGAGGAGGAGAGGAGGAGGAGGAGGAGGAGGAGGAGGAGGAGTGGAGGGATACGGGGAGCGATGCTGTGAGTGAGTTCTCAGTTGTGAACGTGTCGTAGCCCTCTGTCGCAAGGGCATTGTTAACACCCTGAGTGGAGCTAGCACAGTACTCGTGCAGCTTTCCGCCACCAGTCAGCGCCAGGGGATCAGGGGCAGCGGGGAGGAGGAACACCCCTCCTCCTCCTCCTCCTCCTCCTCCTCCTCTCCTCTCCTCCTCCTCCTCCTCCTCCTCCTCCTCCCTCCTCCTCCTCCTCCTCCTCCCCTCCGCCTTTTTCTCCTCCCTCCTACCGTCCTCCCAGGGCCCACGGAGGCAAGGCCTGCGGGTGCACACCCTCCTCCCTCCTCCCTCCTCCTCCCTCCTCCCTCCTCCCTCCTCCTCCCTCCTCCTCCCTCCCTGCCGCCCCCGCCAAGAGGGAGGGCGTGCGGGTGTGCGCGCCGCCTCTCCCTCGGCCTCCGCCTCCCCTGCCCTCCCAGCCTCCACCGCCCCCCCGCCCTCCCCTCCCTGGCGCCCCCGAGGCCGAGGGAGGCGGCCATCCTCGCCTCGACGGCCTCGGCGGCCTCGGCGCTCTCGCCTCGGCGCACCTCGGCGCTCTCGGCTCGGCGGCCTCTGCTCGGCGGCCTCGCCTCGGCGGCCTCGCCTCGGCAGCCTCGGCTCGGCGGCCTCGCCTCGGCTCGGTGGCCTCGGCCGCCGTCGGCGGCCTCCAGTGCGCGGGCCCGGCGTCACAGCTCGTGCACCGCACGCGCGCGCCCACCGCGCACCCGGCGAGAGCGACACGCAGTCGAGACGCGGTGACGTGAGCCTCTTTGGGCCGAGGAGGGGCTCAGGTTTCCAGGCCGCTCCGTGGATCCAGGTCGGGGAATGCATCCGCGGCCGAAGCTCGCCGTGGCCAGAGAAGCGCCTCCGTTCCTCTCTTGGTATGGTCGCACGGTGACTGCACTTCACGCGGGCGGGGAGCACCGTGCACCGCCGATCTGCAATTCTCTTTCTCTCTCTCTGTGACTTTTTCCGCGACCATTCTGTGGTGCTGGGCCTTGGTTTTGAAGAGACAGCGCCCCGCATCTCCTCCTCCTCTCCTCTCCTCCTTCCTCCTCTCCCTCCTCCCTCCTCATCCCAATCCTCCCCTTCCTGCCTCTGCACCCCGCACCCAGTACAGCACTGCGTGGCCCCATATGGGAGCTCCACCGAAGGCCCCATTGGCGATGTTCGCATGCGTGCCCCCCACCCAATACTGCGCTTCGTGGCCCCATAGGGAGCTCCACCGAAGGCCCCAGTGGCGGTGGTCGCATACGTTTCCCCTACCCAGTACCAACGCTGCGTGGCCCCATAGGGAGTTCCACCGAAGGCCCCAGTGGCGGTGTTCGCATTCGTTTCCCCCACCCATGTCAGCCTTTCGTGGCCAAGGCCCCAGTGGTAGTGTTCGCATGCGTTTCCCACTCCGTACGAAATTTCGTGGTCCCATAGGGAGCTTCACCGAATGCCCCAGTGGCGGTGGTTGCAGGCGTTTCCCCCGCCCAGTACAACGTTGTGTGGTCCCATGGAGAGTTCCACCGAAGGCCCCAGTGGCGGTGTTCGCATGCGTTTCCCCCGCCCAGTGCAGCGTTTCGTGGCCAAGGCCCCAGTGGTGGTGTTCGCATGCGTCCGCCACACCCAGTACAGCGCTTCTTGGCCCCATAGGGAGCCCCACCGAAGGCCCCAGCGGCGGTGGTCGCAGACGTTTCCCCTCACCCAGTAAAACGTTGCGTGGTTGATAGGGAGCTCCACCGAATGCCCCAGTTGCGGTGTTCGCATGCGTTTCCCACTCCGTACGAAATTTCGTTGGCCCATAGGGAGCTTCACCGAATGCCCCAGTGGCGGTGGTTGCAGGCGTTTCCCCCGCCCAGTACAACGTTGTGTGGTCCCATGGGGAGTTTCACCGAAGGCCCCAGTGGCGGTGTTCGCATGCGTTTCCCCCACCCAGTGCAGCGTTTCGTGGCCAAGGCCCCAGTGGTGGTGTTCGCATGCGTCCGCCACACCCAGTACAGCGCTTCTTGGCCCCATAGGGAGCCCCACCGAAGGCCCCAGCGGCGGTGGTCGCAGGCGTTTCCCCTCACCCAGTACATCGTTGCGTGGTTGATAGGGAGCTCCACCGAAGGCCCCAGTTGCGGTGTTCGCATGCCTTCCCCCCACCCAGTGTAGCGCTTCGTTGCTTCATGGGGAGCTCCACCGAAGGTCCCAGTGGCGGCCTGGCCCCATTGCGGCTCACCCCTCGCACGTTTCGCGGCCCCATGGTGGGTTCCGCTAAAAGCCCCAGTGGCAGCGCCCACATGGCGGCCCCGCCCCATATCGGCACACTTTTCGCATGCTTCATGGCCTGATGAGGAGACCCCCCGAAGGCGATGCCCGCAACGACAGTAATCACAACAGCATATGATTGGGTCCTTCGCCAGGATAATGTGTGTTCTTTTCTTAATTTCCTGATTTTCTTTTTTTTCTCTCTCTCTCTCTCTCTCTTTATCCTTATCTTTCTTTCTTTATAGCTTTTTTTTTGTTTCTCTCTCTCTCTCTCTATCTGTCCTCTCGCTCACACTCTCTCTTTCTCTCTCTCTCTCTCTCTCTCTCTCTCTTTTAGAAGAAGAGCACATATGTATAGTGAAAGGAGTAACACCTACGTGAGCTCAAACTTTAGGGGCTCCACGCGGATTCCTCGGATCGGCGCTGGACACCCCTGGCGGCGCCTCCCGCGCTGGCGGGGTTTCTGCGCCGATCCGTTCGATCCACGCGGACTGCCGAACAGATATCTTCATGCAGTTTCTCCTGAAGCGCTTTGTGAGAAGTAATGCCAATGTTTCCATGCTTTCTCTTCGTTCCGTGCCAGCTCCAGAGACGAGGGCCGTGAGATGTTCTGGAGCTCACGGGGCGCATCCTGAGCCGGCATCGCTCTCGTCCCGGTAAGTTCGCCCAGCCGGTGGCGACGAGCCTCCAGATCCCTCGCCTGCAGCCGAACGCTGTCACGAAGACCGCTCTGGGCTCGGCAGGCGCTCTTGATTCCGGCCCGGTCCTCCCCGGATCCAGGCCAGGGGAACCTGCTCGTGGCCGAGGTTCGCCGTGGCCCGAAGGAGAAGCCCTCCCTTGGCCCTTCCTGATGCGGTGCTCCCCCCGGTAGCCCGAGGGCTGCAGTGGCCGTGCAGTGCTTACAGTCGGGGCCCTGAAGAAGGAACCCTTTTCGTTGGGGAGGGGCTCCGCGTTCCTTAAGTGTTTCACAGCTTGCCTCAGGCTTTCCTCTATGCTTCCATAGGAAATCGACGTTTAACTTCTGGAAAAATGTGGCCTCGTTCCTTATTTAGGGTTCCTTAGGTCAACGCCCCGACTGTATGCGTCTCGGTCCTGATCGGGGCCCGCGGTCTGCGCGCCCGCGGCAGGTGCGCATATCTGGCCCGCAGGAGGGCGTGGAGGTCGCCCGCGACCTGGTGCAGGAGCTCCTCTCGGGCAACACGCCCGCGGCGCTGATGCCGCAGGCCCGGGAGCCGCGCGAGCGCCTTCGAAGCCCTAATTGCCGCAGAAGTCCATCTTCGCCACGGGATCTGCCCCGAGGTCCTGGGCTGTTCTGGGCCTGTGGGGGCCCTCGCCAGGCCCGGGACCGTCCAAGGGCGACTCGGGATGAAGAGCCAGCCTCGGGGAAGGGTCGGAGACCTCTGGGGACTCCGCATTGAAGAGTCAAGTCCTTGCCTGTTTGGGCCCTTGCGGAAGATTTGCCACGCGGGCAGGTGCTCGCATTCTCGGTCCTGGCAATGGGCGATTCGGAGCAGCTTGGACGGATCATAGGTTCGCGAACGGCTGTTGTGGGGTACAGTCGGGGCCCTGAAGAAGGAACCCTTTTCGTTGGGGAGGGGCTCCGCGTCCCTTAAGTGTTTCACAGCTTGCCTCAGGTTTTCCGTCGGTTTTCGATGGGGACATCGACGCTTAACTTATGGAAAAAGGGGCCTCGTTCCTTATTTAGGGTTCCTTAGGTCAACGCCCCGACGGTATGCTCGCCAGCGTGGGCCCTCTGGGCCGTCTTGGGGGCCTCCTGAGCCGTCCCGCAGCCATCCTGAAGGACTCCTGGGCGCTCCGGGGGCGATCTTGGAGGCCTCTCGTGCCGTCGTGGGCTTTCGGCAGGCAGGGCAAATGCGAATGCCAACATCTGCCAAAGACTTAATGGCAAATTATGGATTTCGACCTTTTGGGGGCCTTCCTGGAGGACCTCTTGGGGGCCTCGTGGGCCGTCTTGGACGCCTCTTTGGGGCATATCAGGGCGTCTTGGGTCATCTTGAAGCCAGCGTGGGCCGTCTTGGTGGCTTCTTGGGCGGACGTGGGAGTATCTTGGTCCCTCTTGGCCCGTCTGGGAGACCATCTTCTTGAACTTGGAGGCCATATTGGGCCATCCTGGCCGTCTTGGAGGCCATCTGGGGGCCGCTTTGCGCGGGACGACCAACGGGCGACGCAAATTCCGGGTGGCCGGCGCGCTGTGCCAAAGCCACAGTGGGAGCTCTAATGTAGGACCAACAACCTCCTGAAATCCAGCAAGCCAGGCACCCCTGTGGCAAGACCACATGGGGGCGGCGGATCGAACCCGCCTACGGCGAATCACCGCAACTCCCGGCCTTTTGAAATCACCCATGTGGCCGAGCGTTGTGGCAAGGGCTCTGCCAAGCTATCGGACCATGTGTTCCCCCCCTTCGGGGAACACTTGGGGGAGGATGGCGGGGAAGATCAGGAGGAAGAGGAGGAGGAAGAGGAGGAGGAAGAGGAGGAGGAGGAGGAGGAGGAGGAGGAGGAGGAGGAGGAGGAGGAGGAGGAGGGGGCATCTTGGGAGCCCCTGGGAGCACTTTTGGGGCACGCTTGGGACCTCGTTTGAGCTTCCTGGGAGCCTCTTGGAGGCATCTTGGGGGCCTCCTTGGGCCTCTTGCGGTCCCTTGGGGGCTTCTCGGGGGCCTCTTTGGCAGTCTTGGTGGCTCCTGGCCCGTCTGACGCCGTCGGAAACTATCTTGAGGGCCTCTCTGGGCCGACTTGGGGCCCTCTTGGGGTGCTCCAGGGCCATCTTGGAGGTCATCTTGGGCGTCTTGGAGGCCTCATGGGCCGTCTTGGGGCCCTCTTGGGGGCGTCTTGGGGGCCTCTTCGGCCGCTCTGGGACCATCTTGGAGGCTTCTTGGCCGATCTTGGGGCGATATCCGTAAGGGCTTCGCCCCCTGCCGCCGGCCCCCTCTCTCGGAGAATGGGCCATGTAAGAGCTAAGTCATGAGGCCTTGGTGCTGTCGTGGCTAGACTCGCTTGTAGAGTTAAGGTATATTCTCCCCCAATGGTATTATCGGTAAGGTAGAAAGCGCTTTCTACCTTAAAACGGAGAATAAAAACTTAAACTCTAAAAATCCCAAGATCAGCGCAGGTGCTTGGTAGTATTACGTATGTTTGATCGTTGCGCTTGGTCGTTCGATATGTTGTGTGTTGACAGTCGCGTATATAGTTGAGGTTTGCAAAACAAGCTTGCGCTGTACAACTGGTGCACAGTGTCTCCAGCGAAGACGCACTGCACAACTTCAACGCATTGTTCGGATGTCTCAAGCGAAAACGTTGCACGTCTGGAAAGCATTGTGCGGATGTCTCGAGCGAATGCGCCCATTACAAATCTGCACTGTGGACAATTTGCCCAACGTTGCACTTAATTCGCATTCCGTGCTCACAACACTCCGCGTTTGGTGCCCCGATGGGAATCTGCTCACAACAACCCGTGCTCACGACAAGCCGTGATAACATCCATCCGTGATTGGTGGCACAGCCATCCGTGCTCACAGCAATCCGTGCTCACAGCAATGCGTGCTCACATTAGTCCGACTTCATCGTGGACAGGTGCTCACAACAATTCGTGATGTTCCAGCGTGGCACTTAAACATCCCAGTGAAACAACATCCGTTGCCCTATTTTGGTTCAAACTTGTTTAACTCTCAGTTTCACGTTTCACTCCCCACCCCGTGCTGTTCGGCGATTCCTTGGCCGGCGGGGATGGATGACGAGGTGTGTGGTGACGGCGGCGACGATGGCGCTGAGCACATGTGCGTGCCTGCGCTGCGTCCGATGCATCGTGGGCGGCTGGTCCTGGAAGGCAATTCCACAGTGTTCTTTATCTTCGGCGAGTCTGGAGGTTTGTGGTCCAAGCCGTACCGCCGCGCGTCACCACCAAGTCGGTTCGACGACGGCACGAGGCGTTTCTTCGGCGTTGCTTTGGGGAAGTGGAAGCTTCTCAGCACCGCAGCAGCTCAGCAGATTCAGGACCAACCTGGGGGCCATGGGCATGGTGATCTGATCATTGGCTCGTGTCTTCATGATGCTCGGCGCTTCCAGATATCAGGCGCATTGGTTCACATAGCCCACGCGACGATCGAGCTGGACAGACCCATCGATAGTGAAGCGCAGAACTCAGAGGATATTCTTAATTTGCTGGATCGGAACCCTTGTACGTATCACAATGACGGGGTACAGGGCGACACTGTTGGAGCATGGCGAGATGTGTGGGATTCGTTGATGCGCACATGCCCAAATGCTCCTCACTATTGCCCACTGGTGTTATGCTCGATGTTAGCTGTCGGAGTTGTTTCTATGATTCAACCTGTGTTCAATTGTGATGCTGTGAAGTGCCGCTTCAGACAGACTCTGCATTTTGGTCCGAATGCTCGGTCTTTGCGATTGTTTCGTCGACTCAACCCTCCTCGTGTGCAAGACGTTGCGCCAGAGCCAGCTCTACCTTCTCGTGGTCGGTCAGCTCGTCGGCGATTGCCTGCTAGCATCACTATACAATGGCTGGGTGTTTCTTCGACCTTACGATCACTACGGCACAGGTGGAAGCCTGGGGTTCATTGGAGTCGTCTCTTCGAACGCTGCGCTGGTGTTGAGCACGGTTCGTTGCACCAAGTTCTTCAACACATTCGTACAGAAACGCTTCGGACTGCACGGGTGCGATTAGATTGGACATGCATGGGCCTCACTCGTCTTTTTTACGGGACGCTCGATTGGCGATCCATCGACGTGTACCTGTACATAGACAGCAGCCCTCAGGGCAGGGGCTGGGAGATGCAGGCGGCAAGCTTCTTGATACGGAGAAATGGGGTCGACATGAGAAGACGAATGTTTTCGCCGCTGCTTCTGAAGCGTTCTCAGTTGAGCGCTTTCCACAAAACTGTAGCACTCGTTTGGCAAATATATTTATCTTTCGGAGGCTCCGTGGACTCCATGAGGCGGTTTTGCCACAGAGTTCGCGGAATCGTGAGTGACATGGGCACGGAATATATGATATCCAAGATGAACGACGTGTTGCCAGATGTGTTTGCCATGATGGGGTACCGTCACCGAGTTGCCAGAGAAAAACTTGTATTCCCTCGGTCGCTGATTATCCCTGGATGGCGGCATAAGGTCGACGTGCTGATTCGCACAGGCGTGCACTCGCTGCGCTGGTTTCCGAGGTTTCTAACACGGGTCAAGGCGTTGATCTCTTTGTTCAGGGACGAGGACATTCGGGCCACAATTCCCCACATCCCCATCACCACTTAAAAGCAATGTAAGAACATAGGGGGAATGTTTGGGGGAGTACCAATTCGAACAATGAGGGGGGGCGTTCGATACGCACGAACGTAGATGAGGTGGCTTTCTAGGGCGGCGGGGGCCAAGGGGTTGAAGGCGAAGGAGGCGCGCGACAAGCTTGAACACGACATGGTGTAATAATACTGCGCCCCCCCGCGAACCCTTCAACGTGAATCCGTGGACCACCGCCGCCCCCGCGTTCTCCTTCACCCTTCTACTCCGTGCCCTCTCCGCCCCGCCTCCGTTGTTTAGCGCACCCCCCCGTTGTGCCCCTCGCCCTTCCGCCCTGGCTGGCACCCCCCCCCCGCGAAAACCTATAGATATAACATAAGTTCTCTGTCGGCTGGCCACGGCGGCCTCG